TGCGCGCGTCCGCGGGCGAGTTTCCTTTTGACCCAGTTGCCGGCGAACTTTTCCGAAGTTCCTCTCGTGGCCGGAGCAGGTGACATTTGTCGCTTTCTTCCTCGGGCTCCCCCCGGGGGTGGATGCTGGGGCTGCGGCGCGTGCCCGGCGCCCCTGGGAGGCGGGACCGGGAGGGAGTGGAGGGATGAGCGAGGAGGAGGCTCCGTGAGTCACGGACCCCGGGAGAGAGGGAGGTGGGAGGAGGGAGGAAGGGGGAGGGATCGTGTCGTACACTCACCTGTTTGTCAGTCGCCGTCACACGCAGAGGCCACCACGGTGAGTCACGGCGCAGCTCCACCGGCCACCCCGGGCATCGCGGGCTGCCTCCCACGCACTTCCTCTCCCCTCCCCAGCACGCACTTCCTCCCCGGCCTCCGTGCCGGCCCCCCTCCCCGGGGGGCTTTTCCACCAGCACCCACTGGAGATGCCGGCTCCACAGCCACCGCCACGCACTTAGTCACTCCTGCCCCCTGGCACAGTCACACGCAGAGCCCACACTCCTGACACACAGGGTCCCTCCCCAGCTCCACTGCCCACCGACACCCCCGTGCAGATGCCCCACAGCCCCTCCGGCCCAGCTCACCGCAGCCCCCACACCCCGAAGATCCCTGCCCTCTGCGGTGTCCACAGCCTGAGGTCACCCAGGCCACTCACCTTTCTCCCGTGTCCTTGTCCCGTCACCTCTCCCTGAGCTCGGGCTGCACGGGCGCAACCGGTCACACCCCCTCCTGTCCCGGTGCTGAGCCATCTTCTTAAAATGCAAATCCGGCCTTGTCACTCCCTGCTGAAACCCTGCTGTGGCTCCTGTGCCCTCGGGCTGAGGCCTGACCTGGGCGCCCGGGGCCGGCAGCACCGCCCACCCCGCCTCTCCTCTCACGTCCCTCACTCACGCCCCCAGTCTGAACTCTTTCTACATCCTTCCCGCGGAGAGCCCGGTACCCCGCCTGCCCACCCCTTCCACCCACCCTCGCAGCTCATAACAGGGCTTGTAAACTCCGATTGTACCCCTACCCCCTAAACTCAGCACTGCAGGGGGCCGCACTGATGTATGTCTCCCTCCCTCTGTGCCTGAGCAGTGCTCAGCACCTCACTGGAGTGCAGTAATTTTTGTGGAATGAATGAATGGACGGGAGTGGAGGAGGCCTCGCTGGGTGGAGGAGGCCGTCGCTGTCAGGTGCAGTTTCCCTGCTGCAGAAGCAATTGCCTCACGTAGCCAGCAAGCATCTGGCACCTACCCAGTGCCAGGCCCTGGAGGCCAAGGCGAGGAACTGTCCCCCGCCCCCCCCCTCTGATCACTTTCACAGGGAGAGATGGGGGAGGGGTGTGCCCAGGCTTCCTGTCTGCCCTCTGGGCTGCCCAGGCTGTTTCTCCAGCCAATCCCAGGGGGGGCCCCAGTGCTCAGAGGTGCCCTCCCCTTCTCCCAGGAAGTAGTTCGGGGGTTGGGGGGGGGGGCCTCGGGTCTTGGGGGAAACTGACCTGCCCTAGTCAGGGGCTCCGTTCTTGGAGTTAGAAGGAGGCTGCTGAAGGTGCCCCCTCCCCAATACTAGCTTGGGGTGGGGGCTGGGGCATTGGGACTGCTGAAGTGCACAGAGGAATTGGTGTGACTTCAGAGGCCCTGAGATGGTCTCTTCCCCTAAAGCCCACCCCCTCCCACCCCCCACAATAGCCTTGGTTTGTTTGGTGCCCAGGGTGAGGTGTCCTGTCCCGGATTCACACAGTATGGCCTGAGTGTGTAGATAGTGATGGTGAGCAGGGAGGGGAGGTGTGCCCCCCTCGCCCTGGACTGTCAGCTCCTGTGTGTGTTGGCAGGAAGGCGGTCTGATTCTCAGGGCCCAGGCAGATCCCGGAAGAAGCCTGGTGGTTCTCTTTGATTCAGGGCCTGTCTCCGGGGCTCCTGGGGGTGTGGTATTTCTGTCTGAGCCAGCTCCTGGGAATTGCTTTTCCTTCCTCCAGGACCCTGGGAGGGGCTGTGCTCACCCTGGGAACAGTGCCACGGCCGGGAATCTTGATTCCTGGGTAGCTGCTGGAGGCCCCTCCCCCACCCTCTGACTCACTGTCTGACACTTTTCTTGGACTCTTCCACTATCTTTCATTCCTTTTTCTTGGCTTCTCCTTGTCTCTGGCTGAGTCTTTTTGTCTTATCGCCTGCCTCTGCCTCTGCCTCTCTCAGCCTCTAGATTCCCAGGTGGGATGGTGGCTCTTCCTTCTTCCCTCACCGCAAAGGAGTATCGGGGAGGAGACGGTTTCTCGTTTTATTCCAGGCCTGCAGATCCTGCGGGGGTTCATCACAAAACCTGCAGCGCGGCCCTGGTTTCTCCGTCTGCAGTTTTGGAGCTGATAACCCCTCACCTTAAGTTCCCATTCTGTAGCTATCCCTGAGGCAGAACCACCGCTTAAACCGGCTTCCTTGACCCCGCTGTTTGTTTACTCGGGAACAGGGAGCCTCCTGAGATGCATGCGCTGGCACCTGCTTTGGCACCTGCTTGCAGCAGAGCTTTCTTCTCCCTCAGAGCCACCCCCTTCTGGGTACGGTTCTAGCTCAAACCCTCCGCTGCAGGCTGGGGGAGGGGTGTGAACCCCGCCCCCCTTAAACTGACTGTGACAGGAGCATGCGATCACACTGACCACTCACCCCCCCCCTCCCGCCCCCCCCCTTGTTTCTGTGGTTATACAAAGCACCCACCTGCCTGCCTCTGATACAAAGCACCCACCTGCCTGCCTCTGATGGTCCTCAGTTGGCCTTCTCTATGCCAGACTCCATTCTAGGCCTGGGCACAGTGACAGCCAGGCCGAGAGGCCTCAGCCTGGTGTGAGGGAGATGAGCAGTGAGGCCACTGCAGGGTGGGGAGGTGAGGGCTGTGATGTGGGGATCTCAGAGAGGCATGTGGTGAGTGAGGAGCGGTGGGGGTTTCGTGGAGGCCCTCTAGGAGATGATAGGCCAGGAGGTAAGCAAGTTGTGGCGATTAGGGGCGCCACAGTTCTGCTGGAGTGTAAAGTGAGAGGGGGGGAGGTGGGGAGACTCCCAGGATGAGCCTGGAGGATGGGCTGCAGCTAGGCCTGCTCTGGCCTCGCTGGCCCTTCGTGGAATCCCCTGAGGGAGTGATTCTAAACGTGGGGGTGGCAGGTAGATAGGGGGTTTAATAAGACTACTCTGGCTGCAGGGTAAAGAATGGCTGTGGGGCGAGGACATGGGTAATAGCAGTGGGGGTGGAGACATAAGGGTAATAAACTTTTTTAAATTGCAGGTGACGTACATAAAACGCATGACGTATATGAATCTTACGTGCACAGCTAGATGGGTTTTATGGTTTTAGACACGCATGGAACAAATATCAACCCAGATCAACTTAGACATTTCCAGACTGCCCCCCCGCCCCCCCCCCCG